GGAGCAAGAAACACTGATGCAATATAGACGAGAACACAAGATGCGCTGTAGAACTAGAAGGCGCCAGCTCTTCCACTCGGCAGCCTGGAAAAAGCCTGGAGCCAAGCACCTCGCCTTTGTCTCATAGCTGGTTAAGCACATCGGGACAGACAACACAAAAAAGGGTAAGTTTTGTTCAAATATGAATAGGTGCAAAATCGCACCTTTTGTTCTGGAGACGCGCAGGCAGCCAAAGGGCTCACTCTCTCCATTCCAGCTGGAGATTGATCTCTTGCTACACTTGACAGATGAGGCTGAGAATTCTAACTCAGATGTACTTCCTTGTCCCTGTAAACTGCCTCAGGGCTGCTTCTGGCTCCCAGCCTCATACTCAGACCAGATGCTCTTTTCTTACTGCAAGTGTACTTTCTAAGCAGGCATATTGAGGGACAGCAGCTAAACCAGGACTCACAACACAACGGTACTCTTGTTGGCGGCTGCTCTCCCTCCGCCAGCTATTTCCACCTACCAGAGGTGATGCCTTCTCCCCGATTGATCTGGGCGAAGAGCGCGGAGCGGGAGGCAGAGTCATCTGTGCTGGAGTTCGTGGGGGCAGGAGCAGGTGGAGGAGGAGGGCCTGGTGGAGGAGGCGCAGCCCCGGCTGGGGGAGCGGATGGCGATTTAGCCCCTTCTGTTGCTACAGGACCCTGTAAGAGGCCGGCAAGAGGAAAGACAATTGCACAAGCTCTCTATCTGCTGCAATAATCATGCAATACTGCCCTGGTTTCATCTGGGATAGTTATTTTTTTCCCAGTAGCTGGCATAGTGCTGTGTTTTGGATTTAGTACCAGAATAATGTTGATAACACACTGATGGCTTAGTTGTTGCTGAGCAGGGCTTACACCAGTCAAGGACTTTTCAGCTTCTCATGTTCTGCCAGGGGCACAAGAAGCTGGGAGGGGGCACAGCGAGGACAGCTGACCCCAACTGACCAAAGGGCTATTCCATACCGTATGACATCATGCTCAGTGTATAAACTGGGGGAAGAAGAAGGAACGGGGGGGGGACGTTTGGAGCGATGTGTGCTGCTCCAAGTCAGCCCTGTGGTGTGATACTCTTTGATATAGGCCTGCAGCTCTGTCCAGATACTCAGATAAGCTTTCACCCAGTCCGCTTGCTTTTTATCTCTGAGGACACAAGGAGATCATGAAGAGTGAGCAGGTGCATTTGCCATTAAAACCCAAGGACTACAAACAGTTCTTTACATCACTCCACCTCTCAGCCTACAGGCAAGACACAGCTGGACCAGCACAGCAGCCTCGCACCTCCAGCACTGTGTTCTAGCTTCAGTGTTAATCTTGCACCCGCAGGCAGAAGGCCACAGGCCTGCTCTGCACTGTAACCCATTTTAATTCAGGAGTCTGGTACTTCCAACAAGACCCATTCCTGAGACACAACTTGCTGCCCTGGGAAACAGTTCAGCCACCAGGTGATGCAGAGACAAGAGCAGCAATACACTTCCTACAGAGATTCCAGCTACAATACGAATGTGAGGAATCTTGTCCCTAAGGATCAGGAAAGAACAGCTAAGTGAGGCTTTATAAATATATCCTGCCTTTAAAAAGAAGAATGAATTCAAAGACCAAGGCAGCTATGGTTAGATACTGGAACCCCTACACACCCAGTTAAAGATGTTGTTGAACACAGCTAAGGGAGAAGGTAAACTTACACATCCTTGTACTCCTTGAGGATCCGGTTGGTATAAAACATGGCAGCATCAGTCATTTCTTTCACATAAGGACCAGGACTTGAATGCTAAAGAACGACGAACACATTGGCATGGAACAGCTGACCAGGGAGCCCAACTTTTCCCCACCAGCCCCAGAAAACCACTTCCCACTGGAGTTCTTACCATGGCCACCCAGCCCAGGGCTGGGATGCTCTCGCTGACTGCTGATAAGTGATTGAACAGCGTGCTACCACGGTGGCTCTCCCTGAAACGCTGCACCGCCTGGATATGCTCTGCAATTGGTTTCAGAAGCAATGAGAACACATTCTGCAGGACAAGAGGGACAATAACAATTAAGAACATTAGTGTTGCTCTGGAATGGCTGCACATCGCCACTGGCAGCTCTGCTGATATGATGGTCACCCAGAGGAAGATTCCAACTGGCACGAGTTACTGCTAGAGCTCCTGTCCAGGCTTGGCCCTCCCTGCGAGCCCTGCTCAGTCCCACAGCCCAGCTCCTCCAGGGCTGAAGTCATAGCTCCCAACCGAATTGGTACTATGGGAGTACGCCAAGAACCGTGACTCATGTTCAATCTAAGAGACACTGACAAAGCTTGCTAGTAATGAGGACAGAAATAGCATTTGCCTTCCCTGGATTCTTTTGTTCCAAGACAGTTTGTCAAATTTTTTCCTCTCCTTTACGAACCCTCAGAGAAAGGGGTCTGGGATCTACAGCCTGCATTACAATTGGAGTCACAGCTGATTCTCAACTCACCCAATCAAACTGGACTTCAGGATTCAAGTTACTTCTCAAGTCAATCCAAGCCTTTAGTATTTGGATGATAAAAACTGTTTTTGTGGGTTGTTCCCTTGGAATGCTGACTGAAAGTGCTCAGAAGTCTTCTGAGGTCAGAGCAGAGCAGCCAATTACGCATTGCCAGATACACCTCTTGGGTAACTTTTCTTCCCTCTAAGATCAGAAGTCCTCCTGCTGGTGGCAGCAGTGAGGGACAAATCTGGGCAAAACTTGCTTTTCAAAGCCTTGGCTTTTCCATTTGCTGTCCTTTTCTCTGTTTAGATGAAAACATAGGTTCCAAGGACCACTGGCCAAGCTACGCTTTCAGAAGCTCCAGCCTAATGCCACTGTGAAGGGAGATTCTTCACTGCAAGCAATGAGCGTTTATACGTTTTGCATTGTATACATTGCATTATACAGTAGCAACTGGCTACTCCAGAACCAACTAGACTCCTGCAAGACAACCTGCACAAAGACCTACACTAGATTAAGGTTGTTGTTTGTTCATAATCCTTTATTTAAATAATACATCAGTAGAATTTGTAAGCAGATTCTCAGACTAGAGGCTAGGCAGAAGAGCATCCCAGCAAGCCTGGTGAAAGATAAACAACCCTCCAATGCTGAGTTTGGGGAAAAAGATGCAGATATATTTTGCAGTGAATAGGAAAGTAGCACAGAAATCCAGCTGCCACAACATAACTGTAGAAGCCATGACTGAGCCAGATAATAACTGCAAAGAAAAGCAAGGTGGGATCCTGTTGCTCAGGAAAAGCAGCTCCCAGCAGGGAAAAGCCAATGCATTCAGGATCAGATTCTCAGTCACACATCCTGCTGAGAAGCAGCAGCCTAGGGTAAAGTGTTAAATTGCTTGCTAAGGACAAATCAATCCTAAAAGCCTAGCTATTATTCAGAGACCATTCAAGAGAGAGAGTGTCTGTTATACTTCAGAAGGAGTTTAATGCCTGAAGGTCTATAAGCATCACATAATGAAAAGCATGCTCTACGCAAATCCCACCATGGCTCCCGTCTCAGACAAGTTCCTGTCTGCAGGTTGCATCTGAAGGAACAGTGATTGTGCAGTGTTGGTGCAAGGTGAAACTCAAGACAGATGCTGTGAGATGACACTCACAAGCCACTCTGACAGCGACAGAAAACTTGTTGCTCTAATGACTGGAAAATGCCAGTTCTGCAGCTCTAAGTATCAACCTCCTGAATTCTGCCCAGTATTGGGTGAGCACCCGAACAGTTCACGCTTTCCACAAGTGCCACCTCATAGATGCAAGTGCCTCCAGTCCCCTCCAGTTCCTCTTCTGGAGTGACTGTAACGGCCCAAATTCTGCTACAGTGGCAGTCATCCTCTCATCCTGGACTCTGAGGTAAGGGCATACAAGGTTTCTGATGAGTGATTTACCAGACTTACCTCTGTTGGCTGCTGGTGTTGAGATGCTATCACCAGAAGAGCCCTCTCACTCATCAAGCCCGCATGAACTATCTCAGCCTAAGAATAGAGAGAAACATGAGAGAGCTCCCCTTGTACCCAGCATAACACTAAGAGTCATTCAAGCTGCCACCCCTCGCAGTTCCTAGTCTGTAAGAAAGCAGCTATGCTGATCTCAAAGCACATATTCTTGGAGACACCCATCCTCAGAGAAAACTTAGAGGAGTGTAACAGCTCTCAGGCTGGGTACTTTTCAGGCCTCCTAAAGGCATGCGCCAAAGTCTGTGAAGAGAGCTAGGCACCTAACTAACAAAGATTTCAAGGAGGTGGTTTGATTCATAGCGGGTGTAGGTGTAGGTTATTTGTGCCTCTGCATCGGTTTTGAATCCTGGAGGGTTATAAACATCCTAGAATACAGTGCTAAAGGAATGCAAACACTGACAGCAAACTTAACAGCCCTGAAGAACAAGCAGCGCCCATTTAGAGGGAAGGGAGAATGTAAGTCCTTACGTGCTTCTGCACATCCTCGCCAACTTCTTTGCTGATCTTGACATACTCAGCTACTGGGCCAGCCAGAATGGCATCGAAAGCCTGCACGTACTGAGCCACTCCTGCAGAGAAGGAACCAGAGCGCACGTATCACAGAGAGGCACCGGGTGAGCTCCTGGGCTGGGAGCACTCGCACTGCGCTCCTGGGCAGTGCCTCCCACCTGCTCCGCACTGAGCCTTCCCCCCACGTGGCATCAACAGAACGCAGGAGGCTCAGCCCCAAGCACGCAGCTGAACGCGGATGAGGGAAGTGCTGCAGCCAGAGGAAGTCCTTTTGTTAGCAGGATGGTAACCGCAGGCCTCGCCGAGTTTGTGCAGTATCTGCTGTGAAACTCACTTCCCCTCTGCAAGCAGCCAGTTCATCTAACAGCCCTTTGCACACCCTGCATGAGCACTGCCCGCCCTGCACCAGCTACTGCTGATGTCCGACACTGCAGCATCACCCGGCCACACTGCCGCACCACCCGGCACCACACAAGTTGTCCTGTGGGACGATGCTGCTGGGTAGGTGCTTTGGGCCTTACCTTTGGAAGAACCATCTCCACACATGCCAGGTCCTCGGCATACCGTTTCCAGGCGCTCCACAGCCTTCTCCAACCGTTCAACCAGTCTTTCCATATCTACTGCTGTCTACAACCTGCATGGACAGAATACAATTATTTGCATCCTCTGACAGTCTGAAACTTGTACACCAAATATTGAAGAGGGTTTATCAGATGTTTGATACAAGCTCTGCCAGTTCCAGAAGAATAATTTCTACTTAGCTCTGCACCCTAATGATGGGAAGCAGGGAACCCTCACATTAGCAGGGACATTTGGATTACACAGCAGCCATGCATGCAGCCACTTTCTGTCCTCACAGTCACTCCTTAATGGCCACATAAGTTTTATTCCATCATAAGGACTTCTTACACGTATAAGGATACTAAAACTTGTATCTTCTAACCTTGTATCGACATCACACAAAACAAAGGTCTGCACAGAACATCACAGCAGTCAGTTCTCGGCCAAAGTCCCAGCTGTGACCATGTAGCAAATCAAGTATGAGTGCTTCACTAGGAGTTCGTGCACTCCAGGTTAGAACTAGCAGGTTTGATTCTGCAAATGCGTCCGCAGGGACCTCCCAGAGTCCTGAATTCCTCCAAGGAACATCTCTAACTCCAGCATCGCTACAGTAGGAGCACCAGCGTGCAAATCGAGCCACCCTGGCACACGCCAAGACGAGCAGCTGCACAAGCCAAGAAGGCATAGCTGCTTCGACAACAATGCACCCCTGTTCCCACTCTCCCTCTACAGGCTTTGGTATCTGAACTGCAGGATCTACTCGGCAAACGCTGCACAGGAAAGTGATTTAGGCACGCAAGTCATTTGAAGCGTCTCATCTGGAAAAGTCTTAAGTGTCATAAAAACTTTCCATTAATTACTGCTTTGCAGAGGCTCTGCACCAAGGAGCAAGACAAGTCACGCTCCAAGCACACTAATGCACAGGGAATGCAGGGAGGGAGTAGCAAGTCAGCAATTGCATTTTTATCTTATCACCACTCATCGAAAGACTTTACAACGTGAATCACAATTACGGCCTGGACACAGCTTCCTTCTTACTGAAACAGCCTGCGAGAGCTCCAAGCCCTGCTTGAAGGAGAGCGTCTTTCCCAGCACATTCCCCAGCATACCCAAAAAGGAAAGCAGGGCTCACCCAGCTGTGTCAATGAACTGATGTTAGATCTCCCTCAGAAACAAAACCTGAAGTTCAAACTAGGGTTTTGCTTTTGCTCACAAGCCTTCTCAGCCCTGCTCCAAAGTCATGTTTTCACTCAGTTTCCAGAGGATGTGGGGCAGATCCAGCATTAGTCACGAGCGGCACTGATGTCACAAGACAAACAAGGCCATTTTCCACCCCTCTTTCACCCGCTTGCATCAGGAGACGCAGCACTGATGTGGGGGGCAGGGGAGAGGCCACCCCCCCTTCCAAGAGGAAGAGAGCGGTTTCCTCCTCTGTGCAAGAGTGAGCCAGAGGAGATACTCTGCCTAAAACCGGACAGCAGTAACTGGAGGGCTTCCAGACACAAAAAAGTTCAGAAAGGCTGAAGCTTGTGGGCGGTCACCCATATAATCAACAGTAATGAATACCTTTTTTTTTTTTTTATTCTGTACAGTGTAGAAATCCTGACCACAGGATCGTCAGCACTCTGCTGCAGCCGAGGACGACGCATCCAGAATGGGGCTCACGTCTTCAAGTGGGAGCGCAGCCAAAAGCAGGGCTCTGCCTCCCCCGCTCTCAGCACGCTAAAAGAAGAGTGGGATTTTTTTCCCCCAAAAGAGCCACCTGTTAAGGAAATTCTCCTGTGCTTTGAGAGTGCAGCAAGGCAGAAGGGTGCAACACAGCGGTTTCAGGAAGGACACCAGGTTTACAGAGCGCTGGGCAGACAAAGCTGCTGTTCTGCACTGCTGATCCCCACCACATTCCGCGCAAGGCTCTAATCTGATCAGCTCCATTACGGAGTCACAAACTGCATTTCAAACCAGGATTACAAACCAGAAAGTCCAGATGGAAAGCTGCTTCTGACCCTCAGTGATAAAACACGCTGTTGCGAGGAGCATATCGCATCAATTTAGATACACTGTCAGGATTAATGTCCTTTAACGCAACAGCATTCCTCGAGATTCAGATTCCTTCCAGCCTCCTTGCTGTTTGACACGTCCTTCCTGGGCCTTGTGCATTTCCCTGACAGAAGCCATAAACTCACAGTGCTCGATTACCAGCTTTGCAACCCTCGTGCTATCTGGCAGATGGTGAACTCATTTTAATTCATGTTTAATGGCCAGCATTAGGACAACTCACAAGATAAGTCACTTGGTAAATTGGCAGCAAAATCAGAGCTCAGTGCAGGCAGCTACCTCTCGGTCACTCCTCGCTAAAGGTATCGTGACTCACCTTTACCACGCGCTTTGCCCTAGGGATGCAGCTTTTTCTGCTATCCACATACCCATCCCAAACGAAATAAAAATATTTAGATGTACAGACCACAACCTCACCAACATCCACAGCCAGAGTCTGCAACCCAGGGAGATTATGTTTAGCAAGAAAAGAAAAAAACAAACAAACAAAAAAACCCCACAAAGTAGACCTTCTTGGCTACATCTAAACAGTGTTTTGTCTTCTGATCACTCTGAATGCAGAATAATTTGTCAGCAAGTGACAAACTGACTTCACAGATCTCAGCAATAAAACGGGATCTCATTTGCCACCTTTGAAGAGCTGAGACATACAGGTCATTGTAGAGTCATTTTTGTTCAGTGCACCGTCCCGTGCTCAGGAGGAACGAGGAAGGCTTTCAAGCTACACTGTGTAGCCAGGGATTAGAGTTCTCCGGCTGGCTGAAGTGGAGATGAAGCTCTCCCTTTGGGGACTATAACGCAGGATTTAAATCTGACTTGTTTAAATTCAATTGAACTTTGATTACCAATGGAGCGTAAGCTATAGACTCGCAGCAAACACATTTCACCCTGGGCCAGAAAGGCCATTCATTTTCATAGCACGTTTGGTTAATCTATTAACTAGCCTTTATTTCCATCAAAGCTTGGGAACATGGTTTCGAACACACTGTACAGCAAACAGGCTTTTATCTGCAGCTAAGACTGCTTTGATATACTGATCAGAGCAACGAAGGGAAGGAATTTTATTTGTAAAAACACCAGCTATCCCCAAAGCCTATCCTGTACAACAACGCAGTAAGAGGAGTTTCCTGTTTGGAGAATATCGAGGAGTCGGCACGTCCCAGCCAAAGGCCAGTCCTCAGAGGAGCAGGCAAGTTCTCATAAAAACGGCATAAAGGAAATTCTTCTGGTTGGCTGAGACAGCCCACCAACCCGAGTCCTCACTTAGACATTCTGGAAGACACAAATGTGAGTTTTATAGCCAAAGCGACTCAAACCTACGCTTCTGTTCAGATTCAGCTTTTGTGAAGCCCGACAAAGTGCTGTCAGCAACAAGAAATTTGCATCAGCTACTTCCTGTTTCTACAGGCAAAAGGAATAAAGATGGGACAACTAAATTAAGAACATACCGCAGTTTATTTCTGAGCTGACACTGGAATATCTCAGGGGATCAGCTACCAGATGATTTCCAACATTTATATCTTCCACAAGCCCAAAGATTTTTTTTTTTTTTTTTTAAAACAGTTCAGCTCATCAAGGAAGGAACTATTTGAAGCAAGACAAGACTCACATGCCTGAATTTAGTCAGTTGTCAGGACCAGCCACGAACACAAGACAGCTATTGCTAGTCCCAGCAGCTGCCAAGACAGAGATCTCTGCTGTTTATAGCACAACAATACTTGTTGACATTGCTCCAGAACCCATAGTGTCTACTTCTGGTATTTCAGATCTACTTTATTTAGAAAGCCAAAAGCACTTAAAAAAAAAAAATATCCATCTGGACCCTATTTGAGCTCTCTCAAGTAACAAATCCTATTGAAATCATTAAAATTATTATTTGGCATTTTTACTCAAACATTAGGAGACGGTCAAGTATCACTTCACTCCACACTAGAACAAGCGCAAGGGCTCCTTTTTCATCACAATTACATGAAATAGGAGATTTGCACTTGCCAGGCTCTGTTGCTACGCTCCTCTCGCTTCCATTTCCCATCAGGGCGATGAATCCACCAGGGAAGTAACTGAGAATCTCAGATCTAAGCTAAATTGGATACAGTACCAAGCTCCATCTCAGGAATTCAGAGCGTCGAACCTTGTCAGCCTGCTCGAGCAGAGGCTGCTTGGCTGAACTTTGTTACATGAATAATAGGGAGTATTTTTGGCTTTCAGAAAGCTCAGCAATATTCCAGGGACGCGAGGATCGCCTCAGGAAGAGAAACGGAATACAGCAGTTTTTCGAGGTCATCGATCCTTGGTTTTGCAGCGATGTGCATCTATAGCCCAGGTCTTGGGGAATTCCAGAACCCGATGTGCAAAATCCTGTGACCTGATGCGTGAAACGCCTCTATCGGGTTTGTTTTTTTTTTTTCATTTCACCGTCACAAAATCCAAAGCAATCGCTTGCACGTTTATCCCACCCTAATCACCACCAAAACGCTAAAAGCCAGCGGAGAAGTCAGCAACAGGCTAAAGACAAAAACCTACCCGGAGCCCAAGCGAGGTGGAGACGGCACCTGGCATCGGGAAGCACAAATTACAGCAATATTCTCGGTGAGGCTGCGCAAGCCCGTCCTGCTGCGGCAAGCTGGCTGTACCGCCTGGGCACGCACCCCTCCTTCCCCAG